ACTTCCGCTTGGGATTAACTCGACATGCATGGCTCAATCTTTTGACTAGGCATATAGCGATGAACGGAGCAATCATGTATTTGCGCACAAGAGGTCACACGCGTTGATAAGACAGGGCCTCGACCACCGAATGCGGGGGCAGTCGGTAGTGTGCCATCGTTGCAAAGAACAGCCCTCCGAACAAAAGCGCACACACCTATGCTCGCGACTGTTGATTTTCCATACGTTTAGAGTAAGCTCTTGAAAATCTCATTGCACAAGAATCCAAAAAGTTGTATTATATTATTATAACAGTGTATAGTTTATTATATTTGAATAAACTATACACTGTTAAAAAACAACGTTGAACAACCAGTATGGAGGAACGAAAACCCCAATTAGGCACGGCCTCCGCGGACCACTGGTCCTGAAGGCCCGCAGAGGCTCTGCCTAATTGAGGCAGGGCCTCTGCGGGCTTCTGGTTTTTTGTCAGGTTCTTGGTTCCTTCCTCTACCCCAACCAATCGATAATCGATTGATGGTGCAAGTTCATAAGCCTTACCAGTGCACGAATGCTCGCTTTGCGTACATCAAGTCGAATTTGTGGTCGAGTCTTGCCCAGGCCTCCTAGAATGAGTTTTTTTGGCAAGCAAGTAGACCATATTTGGTGGGTTCTACACCTGAATAGCAGTGGTGTTGGATAGCATGCACACCGCACGTTGAAGTTTGGCCATATCACCATTAGGTACGACAGTAGGCGGCTGATAGTTGATACCGACTTTGAATCCAGTTGGACACCTAGGTATTACTTCTTCAAGTGTTATTTTTCCTTGTCTTGCAAAAATAGGCGTGCAATGATGACTTTAGGCCAAGCTTCGGGTCGTAATGGAGTCAATGTTCTGCTCACGCTTTGCTCGAAATTTTACTTAGCAAACTATTTGCATAAAGATTTCAAAGTTCACAACAAAAATTATTCTAATTTCCCTGTGTTTCCGTAGAACACCAGCAATGGAAAAGCGTTAAATACCCTTGGAGGTTGTGAGGTTTGTATTCTTGCAATCATCAATACTTACCAGTCGACGAACTGTATATTTCTTTTTGTTTTGATTACGGATATGGCAGAATTGATATCCTGCAACGAAATTACTTCAGAATTGAATACCAAAACGGTTCTTCGTTTGCTTGACTGATTTACCTTTGGTACGACGTCTCCTCTGAATAACAAACAGCATGCCATGTACTTCCCATTACGTGGATCACATATTACCAACTGGCTACCTGGTTCGAAGCATGCATTTGTGATTTCGGAAACGGTGAGCTGCTCATGATAAGCCTTCTCTCTGTAAAGATGCATGCATCTCGATGTGATGTTTGCTTTCATAGAAAGCTTTATGGAAGTTTTGCTAGCACAGCATTGGTGGTATTCATTTCACACAATCAAGCCTTGTTGAAATTACAATTTCTGCTTAAAATCAAACACCTTAAACTTTGTGTGATGTTACTGACTGTGTGATGTGTGATGCAAAGCCTTAGCGAATGAGTATCTCTGTTTATTGTTAATTTAAAGGCAGAATTTCGTTTTCCAGTTTTTCCCCTTTTCGGGACCTTCTCGCCAT